ATGCACACCAGGAAAATTAATTTATAAAAGCCCAAATAGCTTTATTTCACATTTTATTTAATGTCGGTCTCTGTTCCCCAATTGAGTGACGATTGCCAATAGATGATTAATCACTGACGGCAATCGAGTGTCATGGAGGCAACCTATCGAACCCGATCAACACATAGGCCGGGACCAACTTCACTTCCGAAAGCGCGACCAGAGATTCATTCGCCTCAGAAAAATCCCAATGACCTCGGCTGTGATTAAACTCATACACACTGGGGTGAGAAATCAGTCACGCTTACCACTGAACCACCGCACAGTGACCGGAGCCCGGGCAAAACCTCTAAAAATTATGATTTTAGTTTTGTTATTTTATTTCTATGTTTCCTGCACATTGAATAACGTTTTCTCAATTCAATTCGTGATTATTGGATAAGATTTAGATTTTTGACAACACTTTGAACAATGCTAAGTCTGCTTATTTTGATGATTTGTCTGTTCAAAAACCAAAAAAATATGGTTCACTTAAAATACCTGTTACACATTTAATTTTGAACCAATTTGATCACAACAGGTATCATTTTGAAGGAAAAAAACTAATATTTACACGTAAATAAACATGTCAAGGTTGCTCACTATGAAGAACTATTTATGATATATGTTTGGTGGTATGAAAAACCAGTATTCTTTTTGAAAATGCATACTGCTCAACATACTGAAACAGTTCGAAAAGGTCTCATGCTATAAATTCTAAACCATCTCTTATTTTCGAATTTATGGGTCCCAGTTTGCCCCTTGTTGCCTCAAGGGACTAAAACTTTATGTTTTCAAACTTTCGTTACCTAAGCTATTCAGTCTAAACATTAGATATTGCTCATCTTTTCTGAACCGATTCCAATCTATCGAGAATTGATCCTAATATTATTTTTTTAATGTTATGGATAATTTTTGTTTTATATAAAAAAATATTCAAAATATTTCTTGTGTTTCTAAACAATAGCTTTGTTCCCACGTATTTCTTAAATATGTTTAATACCCCAAATAGTTTTAAACACTCGTTAAAAGAAGCTTACCTCACCGAAAAAAAAAAATACATTTTGATTTTTCTAAAAATATTGGAAAAAGATCTAAACTCTAAAAAAAAAACAGTTTTTCTTCCTGATGAATGTGGGCGTCTTAGTGGAATACCTGTATTATGAGAGAGAGCAGGATTAGTATTTTCCATTTAATTCCACTACTTTATTTGCTTATCCTTGACAGATACGCGTATTTCGTCTACAATGTGCAGACTTCAGTGTCTTGTACTAATACTCGACTACTCGACTACGGCAGTCGAGTATTAGTACAAGACACTGAAGAAGTCTGCACATTGTAGACGAAATACGCGTATCTGTCAAGGATAAGCAAATAAAGTAGTGGAATTAAATGTAAAATACTAATCCTTCTCTCTCTCAGTTTTTCTTCTATTCTAAAAAAAAAGTTTACGTGTGCAAACATTCTTTAATATATCATCATGGCAATATTTGTGTTACACTTAAATATTTTTTAAAACATTAGAACATTTAAAAAACAATTTTGGGAGGTAAGCATCCCGTTAAATTTATTTATAAACAACAAAACTGACTTTAAACGTAATAATAGCCATACAAATCGCTTTGAAACACTTAAATGTCCAAATCAATGTCAAAAGATCGAATGGACAAAAGGTTGAAAGGGAAAAAGGGCGACAGAATAAAAAATCGAATCATTCGAATATCAAAGAAATAATAAACCTGTAAGAACAAAACTTGAACCTAGCGGTGCCAGTGGTGTAGTGGTAAGCGTGATTTCCTCTCACCCCAAAGGCCTGCGTTCAATCCTAGTCGGCGCCGCCGGGATTTTCTGAGGCATAACATCTCTGATCACGTCTTCCTTCGGAGGGAAAGTAAAGCCGTTGGTCCCCGGTTCATGAGTTGACGGGTCGATAGGTAGGGTCCAGGACCAGGTGTGGGAGCTGCCTCTCTGGCGTCGGTAGCATTGGTACTCAATACGGAAAACAAGATCGACAGAAAACAAATTAAAAAAAGTAGAAGGGTCTGGCACGAACGGAGGCCGCTAGTAGACGGAACAAATATGTTGATCGTTTAGTTCTTAACTCTTTCCGTTTTTGAATTGGTGGCCCTGAAATGAGCCGGCTGTTTTTCAAATGGTGGCCACAACAGTGCAAGTTGATGCCGACCGGATGACGGCAGCCTAATTATGCTACCTATTGCGGGAAGCCTTTCTTCCAGTCTATGTGGTTGGTTCTGAAGATTGCTAAGATGTTCTGATTTCTGATTGCTCGTTAGAAGGGATGTTAGTTTTTCATTCTTATTGTTTAATTAACCATATCACATGGAGACAGATACTATGATTTTTCTTATCAGGCCAAAACAGGATCCTTTGTGCTACCTTATGAATGGCAAGAAACGCTTCTTAAGACACTGAGGAAGGGAGCGCATATTTCACCACATCCACAAATCTCCTGCCAGATCAGGAACTTTTTTGCAAATTTCGATAATTTCTTCTTTCGAACATTCTGCGGAACATCGAACTTCAACTGGGCAATGACATATTCTTGCCCAGAAAGTTGACGGAAGTTTTCATTCCTAAGCTCACACATTCGTATAGATCAAAATAAAATGAAGAACCACTTCTACGAATATACAAGGGGAAGTTCACCGCTCCGAAAAAAAAAATTTACTATTTGATTTTACTAAAATCATTTTTTTTTTCTAATTTTTTGAAAAAATTTACGTCCAAAACATTTCTTGGAAGTTCTCATGGCATAAAGTTAGAGCGATCCATTGGTGGGATGTGCAAAAACATTTTTTGAATGTCATCATGGCATAAAGTTGGACTCAAAAAATATGAGATATGGAGAATGGATAATGCCGGTTTAAATGCCCCTAATTTGGGCCCATACATAAATTTTGCAATCGTCCAAATTTTCAATAGCGACCAAAAATATCCATTAGTACCATCCCAATGATGCGTTCATCTAGATAAATTTTCAGCGATGGGCCCAATCTTAGATCCATAGGCCATTCGAAAGGGGAAGGTCATTGTTTTCATTTTGGCGTTTTGAAAAAGTTTGGTGTTTTCGATGTAATTAGTTTTCATAAGCTTACCTCACAAAAATTTAAAAACCAAATACGCCATTTGAAATCTGCGACTTTTTCATTATCTATATATAAATGAATTTCTGCCTGCCTTTTTTTTTGTAAATTTTTTTATATGTACAGGCTCAATCGAATAAACTTTACAGAGCCCAAAACCCACACGAACAAAACGAAAACTAAACACAAGGTTAGTCAAACTTACAATCTATGGTTAATATTGTTGAAGAAAACATATATAAGTTTCATAAACTCCAGATCGCGTCTACCCAAAATATCCCAAACTGGAACATTAGGTTGTCTACCTCGAGCCCGAAGGGAATCATAAAAATGTGATCTGACTCCACGATACTCCGCACAAGACCAAAGGATGTGATCAGCGTCCTGGTAACCTTGTCCACATTCACAGAGATTGCTGTCTCCCAGCCCAACACGGATCAAATGAGCGTTTAACGAATAGTGATTGGACATGAGGCGAGACATCACACGAATGAAGTCTCGACCCACCTCCAACACTTTGAGCCAAGGAATCTTCGACACCTTAGGGATGATCGAATATAGTCATCGTTCCAAACACCCTTCACTCCATTTATGTTGCCAGCAGGCGAGTGACTGTTGACGATAAATGAAGAAAAATTCGTTGTAGGCGATTTGTCGATCGTAAATATCGCCTTCCATAGCGCCCACCTTTGCAAGCGAGTCAGCCTTCTCATTGTCCGGAATCGAGCAATAAGATGGAACCCATGCAAAGGTGATGACAAAAGATCTTAAAGATAAAGCACTTAGAAACTCTCGTATTTTCATGAGAAAATACGAGGAGTGCTTTACCGGCCTCAAATTCTGTCTGTCTGTCTGACCCTTATACACTCGGAAACTACTGAACCGATCGGCGTGAAAATTTGTATGCAGGGATTTTTGGGGCCGGGAAAGGTTCTTATGATGGTTCGAAACCCCTTCTCTCTCTGTAAGGGTGGGCTCCCATACAAATGAAACAGAAAAATATAGCATGTTATTTTGAATCGGCGCATAAACTCTAGCCAATATTTAATCCCGAGCATGGCCGGGCACACTCAGCTAGTATCTTATAAAAAAAAGTCTGACTTTTCAAATGGCGTGCTTTAGATTGGTAGCAGGAAAATGAAAGCCCTGACGTTTCCCTTTCGAATGGTATGTAATCATTACGGTTTTATCGAAGACAACATATCAAGAAGACTGGCAACTTTGCCTGAATCCAAGTGACATACACAGCGCTTGAGCAAAGATGGAACTCATGCTTAGAAAAATGAGCAAATACACAAACCTTTATTCTGAGGATGGAACCTTTGCTATCCAATTCGTTCGAAGCATTTACCTTTGAGCGGCAGATGACGCGTTTCTGCCTGTCTCATACCGGACGTTTGAGAAAATGAAAGAGTTGCCAGTCTTCTTGATATTTGTCTTCGGTTGTATGCAAGAATTTTTAGATGTATTAATTGGAATCATCCAATATTTCAAAACCTCGAAAACTAGTAGGCTAGGTTCATCGAAGAAACTTTTAACAACGGTTCTTTTAAAAACTATCACTTTCTACAATGTTCTATGTTTTCAAAAATTTTGGGTTTCTAGTTTTCATTGTAGTCTTAATGAATAACAGAGTCAGATGAATAACAACAAAATGAACAAATGTATTTAAAGAATTTTTTAAAGAGTTCATTTTTCAGTCAGTATGTAATTACTTCTGTTAGTTTTTAACTCCACAGTCACAGAATCACCATTCTCGCTGATAATAATCCTCATACGCTTAAATATATTAACTCCATTACACTTGAACGGAAACTGCTAAAGCCGAAGCCTTCATTGTTTCAACAGATGTCAAATAAACCAACATATAGCACCTACCTATTGCTGTGTTCCTGGAAGGATCCACCGTCCAGCAGTCGTATCTTCGCAAACAGCACCGCATTCACAAACGGCACCTCCACCAGCTCCTCCAGGTGCAGTTCAACCGTAAACTTATACTTTTTCTTCTTCATCATAAATGCCATTCCTGGGGCACCGGGCCCTATCAGTGTCATTCACTCCGACGCAATTATTTCACAACACTTTCGCCCTTCGGAAAACTTTAAGCTCTATCAAAGCGAAACTTGCTTCGTTTTCACCCTTGGCAGAATGTGCCAATTTGCACGTAAATCGCAACAGCTTTTCCTCAATATCACTCTTTCGCCGTCGTTTCTTCTCCGGAAAATCTTAGCCTCTTAACTTCTTCGACAACTTTTCCGAGCACGCTCTCTACCACAACTGTAGACGCCACCACTCAACAGCTCCCGGTACTAAATTATCGAGGCCACAAATTTGCGTAATTATCATTTCACACACACACAATCACTAAATCGTAGTAATAAAAACTGAATCACAACATTGCTTTTCTTATCTTCATTAAATTTCTAATTACAGTGATTCACCTGCGGTGCGACGACAACGATGGAACGCGAACTTGAATGTGGTCACAATCCATCGTGTCGTTCTCTATCGGCATATAGACAACCTTCCTCCGACTTCACTGGTCGCAGACTAGCGCTCTGCTGATTCTGTGCTAATCGATATACATTATTATTGCTTCGTTGTCGCGTGCGCTAGTCTGTCCCTGCTTTTGTTTCACTTTTCAATCCAACATCGAAAAATCCGTCAGTCTGTCGATTGTTTTTAATTTTATTCAAGTGCCACGGGCCGCGGACGATCTTGATGATTATGACGACTCGATAAACTTGCGAATACTATTGTCGTTCGCCTGCAGATGCGAAAATTCGCTCAACTGAAACGGAAAAAGAAGGAAAAGAGAAAAAAAATGAGTGTTAGTGCAAACAAGCTACCAATTAGCGATGCTATGTGAATCAACTACTGGAGGTGTTTATCGGAATATTTGGACGGCTTACGCACTTGGCTGGGAATGAACCTTTGTAGGATAGTCGCGAAAGACGATAGGATAATCAGTGGTTATTTATAGTATCACAATTGCCGAAAATTGCAGGGGTAAGTGATGATGATGAATATAGACGACCCAGTTAAGGTCGAGCAACGCTGTGTGAGGCGTATATTGGCATTATACATTTACGTCTTTACCGGAAGAGAATTTGAGAATAAATGAAACTGGAATGTGCCCTTCATATTTCATGGCAGTAAAGTAAAACATAAACAAAATTTACACTCGCAGGGTTGTTACAGAAATCCCAATTTTGAATCCGCAAAATGCGCGCCACGACATTTGGTCATCCACGCCAGGATGTCAAATCTGCGCCATAGAAAAAATATTGAATTTACAACTCAAATACCCTCACAAAATTAGGATGAGTGTATTCCTTAAAATTAAAAAAAAAGCCTTAAACTTAACCTCTACGACTTAGAAGCTAACTGCTGGAGCTTGATTACTTGGCACTGAGGAAATACAATTTCCATTCGATTTTGGTAACACGTCTCCAATGTATTTAATTTGCGTGTGCTCTGCAATTCAAAATTGTAAACTCTGATTAATATTTTCCTTAGATTATTCGAATAAGTTTGTAGCTTTGGGCGTAACCAGATGATCAGAACCTACCTAACTAATAATAACCAAAGATTTAACTTTGACTATATGTTTTTAGTATTACTTCTACGTGAAGTCAACGATTTACATAGTTGAAGATGCTAATTTCAAATAACAGACTGTAGTGGTAATTTTTATACGATAGATGGAGTAGATGAAAGCATAGAGTTGATAGTTCCGTTAGAGTACGGCAGTGTGAAGATTGTATATAGATATTAGAATAGCGAACTAGGACAACTTTTAAGGAAGGTACAAATCGGTTTTTTCATCTCTCTTTACCAAACTCCCCCTTTGGAGAGGGATGGTGAGGGGTGTCCCCCCCCCCCCGCCACCACTGGCAAAAAGAGATGAAAACCGACCCGTTCAAGTACCAACTGTGTGTTTGAAACAGTTCTACCGATTTTTACCGCACTTCAATTGTTATTTGAAGGAAGGCATCCAGTCGTAGGTTTGGAAATTGCAACTATTGTTTACCCCTACCACGATATGTGCTCCTGTCATCGTCGACTTGACGATCTCGAGGGGACACGGGTGGGGTAGGTTCATCTCTTTTTGCCAGTGGTGGCGGGGGGGACACACCCCTCACCATCCCTCTCCAAAGGGGGAGTTTGGTAAAGAGAGATGAAAAAACCGATTTGTACCTTCCTTAAAAGTTGTCCTAGTTCGCTATGCTAATATCTATATACAATCTTCACACTGCCGTACTCTAACGGAACTATCAACTCTATGCTTTCATCTACTCCATCTATCGTATAAAAATTACCACTACAAAGATTTAAGTAAAGTAAAGGAGAAAAATCTATTCAAATCTCTAATAATTAAAAATTCCCAAAGGCTTGGTAGCCATCATAATGAAGTAATGAAATTGGATTGTTAGCGGAATGGCGGTCGACTATTCGTAAAGATGAATAATTCGGGATATTAATCCTAAAGCATACTGTCCCCATCTTAGACCCAACAATGAATATGGTCTCTCGAAAATAGTCCATGAAATAAGATTTCGGGTTGATTGTTCCAAATCATTCTGGGTCACTGTTACTCAAAACACAATTATTTTCATTTTTGTAGAAAATTCACTCAGTAAATTGAACAAAAAGCGTTCCAAAAACCAAGAAACATCCCTCCAGCGAACTCTGCCACAAAACACAGGAAAAAAAATGGAACGAAACACAAATTTCGCATTAGATTTTCATTAAAATGGAGCAAGAAATGTACTCGATTCATCTCATTACTAAGTGGTTTGTTTCCGGATTTCCGGAAAGGATTTAGTATCCGAGTTGAGGGGCTAGGCCTAGTTTACAGGGATTCAAATCATAACTACAAATGTTTTCGAATAAATCTTGACCATTTTCATCCGGACTAAACATAATCACGACACACTAGAAACTCTTGCAACTTCAGGATTTCTAGGACTTCTGGAACTTGCGATTTCTTTAAAAAAAATCTTTGAATTTGGCTTGGAGGCGAACCAGCCTAAGGCTGAAAGCCTCCTAAATAAAGCTAAATAATAATAATAATCTTTGAATTTGGAATGAGGAAAATTGTACAAGTACTTCTGAAAGAGTTTCTGAGGTTATTGTTGTTTTTTAACGTTTCAAATTCTGAATTCCGTTAGCCCCAAAAGTTGAGGGGGCCCTTGAGTTCAAACATAAGATTATTTGGAATAATTACACACTGTGAGGGTAGATATTACTACGAGGGCCACATCCACACGACGAAGTGACATGGATGAATCTAAAGGTCGATGTGAACGTATACAAATGCAGGTAGTTCATTCAGGGTGTCCATTCAAATTTATTTTTTCAATTCCCGGTTTTTTCCCGGTTATTAAAAAAAACTCTACCTTAAACAAAAAAAGGCGTTCAAAAATAACCCTTTAGAGATAATGATAAAATTTTGTCAGCAGACGTGGGTATTTTATACAATAGTATTGACTACAATAAAGAAAAAAATGACCAAATAGTGACTCTAAAACAATAAAAAAGTGACGAATAGTGACATTTGTTGATCGGAAAGATATTAAAGATATGGATCTAATCTTTCGTTAAATTCGATCCGCTTTAACAAATATTATAAATTCCCAAACTACCATGAGCATTTTACAAGCTTTTTTTTAAATAAAACAAATGGTTGAAGCATCTTATAAATTTGTTTTCATAAAATCAGTATTAATTGGATAATCAATAGGTTAATTTGTAACCTCCATTTCTTCAAACAGTACTCATTTTTCTGCCACGATTTTTTGGAAACAAACTGTTGAATAAGTTAAATTTAGATTCAGATCGCGAATTGGTTGAATTTCGGGATGTGAAAGCTTGAAAATAGAAATTTATTGGGAAATCTTGAAATTGAAAAAAAATTGAGGCGCAGAGAAAAATGTTCAACGTCTTGGACAAATTCGTCAATTTTAAGACAATCAATTTGAAACATAAACAAATTTTCATATCTCTGGAACCTAGACAAGTGTTCTGGATCGTATCATTATTTCCTTTATTAACACTCCGAATACGGTGGGTAAAAAACTTTACGCCGACTACGAAGCCTCCGAAAAACGTGTAACGGCAAGTTTGCAATGGCACAACTTAGCCATTTCTTAATGAATTTCAAAAATTGTCGTACCTTTAGAATTCCTAGGGTTTCTAGATGATTTTGAAAAACTTGAAAATAGAGTCGTCTACTTTTTTAAAAAGCGAAAAGAGTTGTTACACGTTTTTTTGAAAGGTGTGTTTGTAGGGATTTGCAAGTGGCGCAAGATCTGTAATTTAGATTAATGGGCACAAATGTTCACAATTAGCCAGAATACAGTCATGGTTCCTATATATGGATCCTGGAGACAACGGAACGGTCCTCGAAAAATCCGGAACATCCGTAAAAATGGTCAATCCATGATCCTGATCCTAGAGCTCTGCGGTTTTTTTGAAAACATTAGGAACTGTGATATAAACAAATATTTGGGGTCGTGACATAAATATGTACCTGGATTATTTGGGGTCGTGACATAAATATGTACCTGGATGGCCATGGGACCGTTCTCCGGAAGATCCGGAACATCCGTAAAAGTGGACAATCCATGAAACTGATCCTAGAGCTCCGTGTTTTTTTTTAACATTAGGACCTGTGATATAAGAATGAATTTGGGTCATGGACCCAGATGGCCATGGGACCGTCCTCCGGAAGATCCGGAACATCCGTAAAAGTAGTAAATCCACGATCCTGATCCGCGTTTTTTTTTATAAACATTAGGAACTGTGATGATAGAAAGAATTTGGGCTTGTGACATAAACATGAACCTGGATGTCCATAGAACCGTCCTCCGGATGATCCGGAACATCCGTAAAAGTGATCAATCCATGAAACTGATCCTAGAGCTACGCGTTTTTTTTAAACATTAGGAACTGTGATGATAGAAAGAATTTGGGGTTGTGACATAAACATGAACCTGGATGTCCATAGGACCATCCTCCGGAAGATCCGGAACATCCGTGAAAGTGGTCAATCAATGAAAATGATCCTAAAGGTCCACAGTTTTTGAAAAAACACTAAGAACTGAGATGATAGCATGAATTTGGGGTCGTGACATAAACATGGACCTTGATGGGTATGGGACCGTCCTCTGGAAGATACGGAACATCCGTAAAAGTGATCCAGAGGTTTCTTATATCACAGTGTTTAAAAAAGAACTGCAGAGCTCTAGGATCAGTTTCACAATATGATAAATTTACGGAAGTTCCGGATCCATATTTATGTCACGACCCTAAATTCTATCTTAAATCGCAGTTCCAAGAGTTTTCGAAAAAACAACCACGGTTTTTTCACAGTTTCATCGATGATCCACTTTTACGGATGATCAGGATCTTCTGGAGGACGTTCCAATGGCCATCCAGGTTCATGTTGATGTCTCGACCCTAAATTCTTTCATATATCACAGTTAGAAGTGTTTTCGACAAAACTACGGAGCTCTAGAAACAGTATCATGGATGGACCATTTTTACGGATCTTCCGGAGGACTGTCCCATGGTCATTCGGTTCCATGTTTATGTTAAGACTCCAAATTCATTATAATATCACAGTTCCACGGTTTTTTGTTCTTGGATCAATTTTATGGCTTGCAATCAGGCTAAGGCCTTGTTGTCCTCTGCTGTCCGAAGAAGTCGTATCCACTCTACTCGATCCATGGCCAGACTTCGCCAGCCTTGTAGTCTGCGAAGGGTCCGCAGGTCGCCTTCTACTTG